TCCTCCTCCCCATGTCCCCTCCCACCTCCTCTTACTTCTCCATTTGGTCACATTAGCGCTCCTTCTGCTTCTTCTTTTTGTTCGAATTGGCCAATTTTCCGCTGCATTGCGCCATTCATTTGGCCAAGAGGGCCTTTAACCGAAACTTTTCCCCAGAACTCAGCCTACATGGCGTATACGCAATAATTCTGAGGGTTAAAAGCGAAAGTTGCTCCTGTTTTCAACGGAGGTTTCGTGGAGCTAATCAGGGGAGAAAGTTTTTCCAAGGGGCTAGTGCGAAGGGAGGAATGTGACCCAAATGCTTATTGCTGGGTAAGCGGAAAAAAGCATACATTTTTGATATCGATTGTAGCCATTTTCAAGGCAATCTGCTGTATTTTTTAGATTATTTGTTTGTATTTGTATATTTATGTATTTAGTTTTCTAATGCTAAAATTACAGAGACTTACAATGATTGTATCTTGTTAAAGGTTTGGAAAGTATTTATAAATTAAGATCATATAAGATCAGTATAAACGGAATTGAATTGAATTCGGTATAAATGATTTTACTTCCTTCACCAGATTAATATTTTTGTTAAATAGGTTATCCAAACATAGTTGAATTATAAAACTATTCCGAAATAAGTTCAAGTAAAATCTATGAACTTTGAAAAAAAAACAGTAGGTAATGTCATTCTTAGCTACATATTATCACGCACAATTCATCAAGAAGTCCCAAAAAACAAATCAATGATATTAATCTGACTTTCTCTCTAACTTTTCCCAGGATTATTTATAGAATCCAGCCGTCGGATCCCTTCGTTTTCAGAAATCTCCGCTGCTAAATCTACTTTTTCTTTAATCCACCGTGCACCGCAAAGTGAAATCTATCAATCTGGAGTCTTGGGCCAGCTGCTTCCAATTCCACCCTGGGCGGGATTATAATCTGGAAGATGCGGCGCCCACGCAGAACTCGATAAATTGCTAGATTGCACAAAGTGGCAAACTGCGAAGGAGGCAAACAGGACGAGAAAGCCAAGCCAAATGCCAATGCAAAAAAAGGTAGAAACAAATGCTGATGGCGCGGCCAAAGGGGAGGGGAAAAGATTATTGGAACACAGAAAGTTTTTCTCCTGGCTGTCGTCGCACACATGTGTCCAGCCGCAAAGGGGGAGGGGGTGGAGGAACCAGGGGGCGGGCGGGGGTATAGAGAAGTGCAAAGCGGACCCAACAAAACGCGGCTATAGTGTAATACAGCTCAGTGTTGTCAGCTGTCGCCAGGCGACAACAGCAACAAATCGTTTATGGCCCAAACACCTAAGCAAATATGTGAGAAAAGAGAAAGCGTTATCCTTCGCAAGGATGTGCCTGTGTGTGTGTGTGGGCGGCTGTGTGTGTGATTGGCGTACATAAGTGAGAATGCGTGTAAAGTGTTTGTAATCAATCATTTATGAAATTACGCTACTTCCGCTTTTGACAATTTTCTTTCGTCGACAACGGCCCCCTCCACACTTCCACCAATACATTTCACCCAACCATAAGCTTTCCCCGGCGCTCCTTCGATGACGTAAGGTTATGCGATATGTGTCTATATGTAAAATGCAAATTTATACACACTGCCACAAAGTATATGAAACAAAAAAGCCAGAGGGCGAGACACAAAATAACGAAAATCCCCCACATCAAATCGAAATCTCCGATGAAAATAGATTATGGCCAAACAGCAGCAAACTATGTTGATAGAATGCTTTTCGCATGTGCAAGCAAGCAGGTTCAGAGAATACACACCTATGTAAATAATATAAGCCAAACAATAGTTGATTGAACCAATTGATTAAATTAATCGGAATCAACAAAGTGCAAGTTGTTTTGCAAAGCTTCAACCTTGACGCCATTGTTCTCAGGTGAAGTTTTGAGTTTCAATGTTGCAGGCTCTAGAGGTCAACGATTTATAGTCGCTTTGTGCATAATAGAGTTACCTCATAAATATGCATGTGTTGCTATGCTCATCTGTTTGTGATTCATTTGTTGAAGATTTAATTGAGTTTCAAGCAAAGTGGCAAATATTTATTTGTCTTTTTCATAGGCTTAATTAAGGCTACAGGTTTTGATTTATCAGCAGTTTTAGTTTGTTTAGTGCATGCAAATGCATATTAGTCATCTTAGTAAATATGGCAGATAGAACAAATATAATAAATGACATAATATTTTTTTATATAAACATAAATTTCGTTAAATCGGAGTTTAATGAATTAATTGATTTCAAACTATATTTTCAAAAGCGCGTCATAAAATAATAAAATGTTTATTCGACAAAATGAGTAATAAATAGTTTCTTAATGCAATATTTAATGCCGTGGACATTTTGCTTAATTGATTTTTTACGAGTTAAAATACCACAATTTTTGACCGAGAATATAATTAAAATCTTAAAGCAAATTCAATAGAACAACTTCAAAATAGCATAGTCATTAAATAGTACTTAGTATCATTATTTTAGGGTCAAGTTATTGAGTATTTGGTCCTTCCATCAAAAGCATATTGTCCTCTCATAATGCGGTACCTAAAAACGATTGTAATTTCCACAAATATGACCAAAATAATCGAATTGCCGCAATGATGAGACCGTCAACGTCTTTTTGGCTTTCAGGCAGGCCCAAAGATGGGTCTGAGCTGCACCCAAAACTGCTTTCCAAACCGCAAATAAGGACACAAACCGTTGCCTTGAAGCTCGAGTTCCGGCCAATGGGTTTTCCCTTTGCGGTTGGCCGCAATGTCAAGCCTTTTGCGACTAATTAGACGAACTTGCGGTCGAAAAAGGTGGGTAATCATAAATAAATATAAATATGCATTGGCCAGTGCAATTTGAGCGAGTATTTAAATCGGTTAACTGGACCATGAGTGATATCACAGCCCAGTGATATCGATACGGTCGGGGTTAAGTCCAAACTTTGGTCGGGCCATGTGCAAAAACGTGTTTTGTACTGGAATCTGGCCGTGTGGACGAGGCTGGCACTTTGGAAAAGCCAAGGAACCTTCTGCTGAATGGCCAACAAGAGAGAAAGAGGGCAAGAGAAGCGCGCGCAGTTGAAAATTCAAATGTTTCTGTTGGAAATGCCTTTGCCTTCTGTCGGGCAAATGGCCAAGCTTAAGCAAATTAAAGTTTGGGTCATTAAAATATTATAAAACTAAATGTTTGGCAAGCTTACAGGATTCCCGGGAGAGTTGCCTACAAGTTTGAATATGTTTTTTTTTAATTTTGTGGAATTTATAACAAAACATTGGCCTGTTGAAACTTATATAAACTGCGAAAAAGTTTGCAGAATCCCCAAAGCCAGGGAAGCTGCGAGAGAGAGAGAGTATGAGTCCTGCCAGAGAGAGCGGGAGAGTGCCCTGCTGACACCGCAAGAGAGAGAAAAAGAGGCCCTGGAAATCTCTCACCAGCTCTCTGGTAACTGATTTCCAGAGAGAGAGAGAACCCGATTTTCGAACTAGAATTATGTTAAGGCTGCTGATGGTGATTCTCTGCTCTGATTCTCTTTCCCCTTTCTCCGCACGCCCTTCTCCCTTTCCCCTTCCTCCAGCCCCCACCCCCCTGCAATCCCTATCCTTCGGTTAGTTTAAAACCCTTGTTGTTGTTGCCTCTGCGGCTGCACAGCGCATTAAATGTGTGCCACCAGGCGTATGCGTAATTTAAATTTAAATTTGTGTGTGTACATATGTCTGCCCCTAGCACCTGCAACCCACCTCAGCCACCAACCCCCCCTCCTGCTTCCCACTTACATCTTGTGTATTTTTGGCCCGAGTTGTTGTTGCTGCTCTGTTGCCGTCTGCTTAGCATTTGCCTCAAGTTTTGTTAATCAGCGCAATTCACATTTCTGTTTTTTTTTTTTTTACTGCCTCCATTCGCCACTGCTCTCGCAGAGATTTTGCAGTATTCAAAAGGTTTTTCCTTTACCCACAGAGACCCTCATTAGCGTAGTCATTGTTTTAGCCAGCTCCTCCTTTCGCCCCTTCAGCCATTTCAGGTTTTCAGGTTAAGGAAAGGAACCTCTGGCCGGCACTCGACGAATAATTACCAATTATATGGAACAGACATCAAATATGCAACCGAAATCTGGTGTTGTTATGTAGCGAGGAGCAACTGCAGCCGAGCTTAAGTGCCACAAATTAACCGCAACGCGGACTCCTGCGTCTCCTCGCTCGTCCTTTCCGCGGCTGCCCCATAATTACGAGTCTGAAATATGAATCCTTGGACAAGAGTCCTGGCTCTGGTTATGGGCCAAAAGCGGCATGAGCCCTCAATGAGCTCTGCACTGAGAGAATGGCCAATGGCAGTGTTGGTAATTTTAAATGCAAACAGGCCTTTGTTCTTAGCGGATTAAAGTTTACTATTTTTGACGTTTGCTTTGCTGCAGCAGCGGTTCACTGGGAGAATATCAGATAAATAGATAAACTTATAGACCTTAAAAGCTTAACTTGGGTACTTTGGTCAAGCACTGAAGAAAAATCTTTGTGATTCTGATTTACATTTTAGTGCCTAGGCCAATACTTTATCTTAACAAGACTTTGAAATATTAAAAAGAGTATTTTTATTGGATACTGAATATTTAAATTGCTTGAGAAATCACTTGATACTTTATTTATTTAGTTTTAACACCATTACAAATTATCATGAGTTTAATAAGTATTATATTCTAAGATTTAACCACAGCTCGACTTTTCTCACAGTGCAAAATTGCTTTTTTAGGGCCTTTGGTTTTGGTTTTGTTTTCAGTTTTTCCCTTTTTTCGCAGCTCAACTTTAATAATTAATGAGCAGCTAAAAATGTCACGCGGTGCGGAAGAGTTTCGGCCTGGGCCAAAGTGGAAAGCGAATGAGGTTGGGGCTTAATTGGGTTAAAGGGGTGTGGACTGGTGGAGTGGCAAGATAGGGGATTAGACGGGTTAAGGGCCAAGGAGTTTGAGGGAGTTTTTTAAGGTCCTTGCTTCTTGCTGAGGTACAAAATCTGGGACTCACCTTGCAATCGTCGCACTGATTGATCAGCGAGTAGACCTGCCGGCAGTCGAAACGGAACAGGATCTCGGCCAGCTCGCAGGTGATCCTGTTGGCCAGTCCGTCCACGTCCAGCAAATCGGTCAGCACGCGGATGCACTCGCTCCGATCCGATAGGCTGGCATTCAAGGCCAGCGTGTGCAGGGCGCTGAAGGCGCTCCTCTCGCAGCAGTTGCGCAGCCGCAGGACCCTCAGCCGCTCCAGCAGATGGGCAGGTGACTGGAGGTCGCACAGGTGCTGCGGACTCGACTCGGCGGAATCGCCCAGATATTCAAGGCACTGTTGTTGCTCCTCCTGCTCCTCCTGCCACTGCCCCTGCCCCTGCTCCTGCCCCTGCTGGTGGACCAGGATCGGCTCCTGGGCATGCAGATGGCTGTAGGACAGCGTCGGCTCCGGCACCTTCGTATCCGCCTCCGCCATCGCCTCCTCTGTGGTGGTGGAGAACGAGAACGAGGACTCCACATCCTCCTGGTCGTCGGTGGTGCTCGTTGGCCGCTCGCTGGCCGCTGGGGAATTGCTCTCGGTGGCGTCCATCGCGTACTCCCCACCGCGGCGCAAACGCATCTGGGCTGTCTTATAGTTTACGAAATACTTGACTTTATTGTTACTGGTGGCGCTCCGCTTCGCCTTGGAGGCCGCCGGCCTCTGTTGCTGCTGTTCGGCGCAGGATCGGGGGCAGATTGGGGGCCCGGGTCCCTCATCGACCCAGGCCATGGGCAGTGTACCAGCCGAGCACTGACCCTGCAATTGGAAAAGAGATGGCAACGGGATGTTAGAATTAATCAAAAGTTATATAAAGTTAAACTGTGAAAAATCCCAGAGAGATACAAATATACGTTCTTTTAACACAAAATATCATTAATCTCCTATTTCCGAATTTATTTAATTTTAAACATATTTGTAAATTAATTGCTTTACTGCTGAGATGTATCTTAAAAATTGTAAGTAAATTTATAAAGCATTCAAAAAGTTAAAAAAGTGTTATAAATATTTCCGAATTTACTCTTTTGAAACAATCATATATTTTATACATATTTTTAAATTAATTACTTTACTACTAAGATGTATCTTAAAATTGCAAGTACATTTAAAAAGCATTCAAAAAGTTAAAAAAAAGGGTTATAAATATTTTAAGACAAAAAAACCCAAACCTAAAAATTATGCCCTACACAATCCCTTCTCAAGCTGAAGGGAAAAGATAACCTTTTTATAGCCTGTATAATTTTATCTCAATTAAGATGTGTCACTTACAAGAGACCACATAAGAAAAAGAAATAAAAAAGATGGTGATTCCAAGGTCAAATGTCTTTTAGGAGATTTTAACCCTGATTTAAGACTGACAATTGAAGAAAACTGTTAACCAGAGAGTGTCAGTCTGGATTTGATATGCCACTTAATCTTTTAGTGTGAAAGTGCTTAAAGGAGATTTATTTTGCTTGGGAAAAGGGAGATACAAGAAGACGAAGTTTTAAAGGAAAATTAGGAGAAAACCAAATTGGCAGCTTAACCGCGTTAAAAAGGGTTTAACCCAACTCCCAAAATCTTAACCCAGAAATGTAAAATCTAAGAAATGTTTACTCCAATTTCCTTAATTTTTATTGAAATATTTCCGGTCCCTAACACCACTTTTCCCTCCATTAATTAACTGTCTTGTGTGATTTAAAAATTAAACCGAGCGACTGTGATAGCCGCACACAAGTACAAAACGCACCCACACGCTGGGGAAAACCAACCCAATGGGGAGCAACAACCATCTGCAGCGGGAAAAACAAAAAGCATACTGGTATATTGGAAAAGTTTCGCTCGGCTAACAACAACAGTAAAAGTCATAAAATGCAAAAAACAAAAAAAAAACAAGTAAATAGAAGCCAAAGCAGCGAACGGCGAAAAAAAAACAGGAGCATTGAGTGCATAAAGAGCTGATGTTTTTTGTTATTAAAATGACCGCACTTCGTTGGAATTTTCCACATGCTTGCATAAAACTCAAGGCAGCGGCTACAACAACACAGTAAGGGGCGGTGAAGTGGGCGGGAAAAGCGAGTACGCGTGGCTGCAGAATTTCCGTAGAACACTTTACGGCATTTACTATCAATATTGGAATACACGGTGCTGCAGCAGCAGGACCTCGCCGAAGTTGGAGCTGCAACAGGAGCCTTTAACCTTTTGCAATTTAATCGTTTTCCGGTTATAGCATGAATATTTATGAGCCTGGCAGGAAGAATTATATTATCCCGATTGTTTGCTTCCACCTCATATTGCACATTTCGGAGAGATGCTTATGACCTGCAGCCAATATGCTTGAGATTATTTAATTTAAAGTGATTTAAGTTTTGGTCTATAGATATTTCACTTTAAAATTCCTTCCAATTAATCAAAGCGAAATCGATACTTTTTATATCTTTGTATTGGTCATTAAAAAAGAAAACTAATTGCTAAAGAACAATAAAAGCTTTTTAAAATTCCTGCACATCCATAAGTCTTGATAAAGACAATATTTTTTAAATTCTTTATTAATGAAAGTTGCAGATGTTAAAATGTTAAATGCTATATGTCAAATGTCATTTTGAGAATATGATGTATAATATAGCCCTCTAGTTGTATAAATATTTGAATTGATTAAAAATATAAAGATAAATACATCATTAAAAAGATGAAAACTATCCAATTGAAAAGGTCAACAGTGTCCAATGCTGTAAGCTCCTTGGTAACATTTTAAATATCAATTTAAGTCCGAATAATCCGACTACTCGATGGTTGAACAATACAGGCATTATTCCCTAGAGTATGCACCGGAAATTCTTCTTTTTTTTTCGCTTGTTGCCAAGCTGAGAACAAATTCAGAGTCGGAGCCAACTTGCCCGCTGCGATGACCCTTTGAACTTTCGGGCTGTGAGTAATATGCAACAATCAACAACTCTCAATTGCTGCGTGTCCTGTGCGCCGAGCTCTGTGTTCTGAATGTCCTGTGTGCCCTTTCCCCATCCCCCCATCCCCCCTCCAGCGTTTCCTCCAGTCGCCCACCCATTTGCCCATCCTACCGCTCAATCGTTTTCCATGTTCCCGGGGCAATAACAATAAGCAGCAGAGAATTTCACTTGCAATACGCACAAATATGCCCAGGCCGTGGGGTTCGTTGGCAAGGGGAGGGTCTTAACTCAAATGAAAAATCATACAAAAGGGAAACTAATACAGCAAAACACACACACTCACACAGAGACACACAGGACATCCCCATACACACATACCCGTTGAGAAGGACGAGCACGTGTACGGGCGGCCATTGTTGATTTAATGGCAGACCAGCTGCGGCCCAATGCACAACAATGCGGCTGGGGTACACAAGAGGGGGGAGGGGGAAAGGGGAAAGGGGGGCAAATGTACTGGGGTAAAAAATAAAGATAAATTCTTCAATTCGCAGCAGGCAAAATAAGAAATTACAGTTCCTGCCCTTGGGCGGAAGTCCTGTGAGAACCCGCCCACGCCCCCAAACAACTCTCAACTTTGAAAACTTTCCAATTTCTGCTCGATTGCCAACTTCATAATGAGCAACCTTTCACGTCGAAGCGCCACTTAAATCAATTAATAATTAAATTAAGCATATTTCGAGGAAGCGAAGTGGACTTCGCATTAAGCTCTTAGGATATCGCATTTATTTGGTATTTCCATGAATTTTGTAAGCCCTTCAAGGAGCACAACAGAAAATCATCCGACTGAAAGTCTTTAATATTTCCTGACTCGAAAGTGTTAAAATCCATTGGCCATAATTGTCTTCCCATTTTCGGCTACATATAGAGCATATTGAATGCAGTCGGTTGTCCGCTTGAAATATTCATAACCTGTCGGGTGGCGATGTAAGGTGGAGTGGGATTGCAACAGGAATGCCAATGGCCAAGGGCTCCTGGCTAGATGTTGAAACATTCATGTGTGCAGGACACTCGCCAGCTGTCTGTCTCTGCGGCTGGGTAAAGTGTTCTTATGCAAGTTGTCATTAACTTTGCTGTGGACCTGAAACTGAAACTGACTGACAGCCAGATGGCTTTGGACTTTGGGCTTTTGTCGCAGCAGCAAGTTGCATGAGCGACCCCACCACTCAAAATATTATATGGGGCATATGATTATATGAGGATATTCACAAGAATTGATAATAAGAGAAATGATTGAAAGATAATGATATTAAACCACGACCTGTGCAAATGTCTTCAAAGTGATTGAAATCATTAAATTAAATTGATCTTAAAGATATCAATATTTTTTATTATTTAGTTTAGAAATTGTTGAAGCATGTATTCCATTATTTATCTAAAATATCTTACACATTTGTGATGTCCAGTCCTCATTTCGTTTAATATTTTAAGCACCTAATTATCTCACTATATAAAATCCTATTGATTTTAAATATTGTACCATTTTTTGCCGTGGATTCACTTTTTCCAGCTCCCTACTCTCGGGGACATTGCACACGCCCAAAGAAAGGAGAATGGGGGGCGCAAAAACTCAAACAATGCCGGCATAATGGAGTATGCATTATGGCTAATGGCACACGCCTACAACTACACATTTATGCCCTGTGTTGGATGGCCGGGGATGTCCTTTGTGGCTGTGATCCTTTGTACCCGGCTGTGCGGAGGTTGCTAGAGGTTCAGGGGGGCGGGGCGGGTCCACAATGTCTAATAAGCCGAGGTCCTAAATGCTTAGACAATGAAAATGGACTCACACACACAATGATGTCAGTTGCAGGGGGGTTGGGGTAAGGGGGGAGGGAGGCGAGGTCCTTTGAGGTCCAAGGAGGAGCTCCCGGCCCCTTGACCCATGACAGCCTACGCCCGGCGACAATCTCTGATGGATATGTGACATGGCACTAAGGACGGACGGTTAACCCCTAAATGCCCTGAGCCCTGGGAAATTAATGCCTTGATTAGTTGGGCAAGCGAAATATTATTCAGAACTTTTGCCGAGTGCCGGGGGGCAATTGAAATCCGTCAGAGCCTTCTCGGCAGCAGGAATGTCAACTTGTGAGCCCAGAAAAGGGAAAAACGCAAAGTGCACTTGAGCTAAACACCAGCAACATCTACGGCAACGGCAGCAACATGCAACTGCAGCAGCAGCAACTATGTACAATGGCAAACGGCAAACGGAACCGACAACACTTTAAATGTTACAGCTTAACCTCGACGGGCAATTCAAACAATGTCCTAGCTCACACACACACACAGAGACGTCCTGATAGGGAGACGCGGCACATGTGTTGGTGCCACTATATTTGTGTGTATGTCAAATTTTAACGCCTGTCAACAATGCAGGCGGAAAAAAGAATGCAGCGGCAATGGAAACGACAACAACAGCCCAAGAACATGTCGCAAGCAGCACTCAAATTTTCAAATGCATGCATACAAATGTGTGGGTGAACGATACCCTGCCGAAGAAAAGGATAATGCGAGTTTTCTAAGCTCAGTTCTCAAATGTACAATTTCCGGCAACTCGATGCAAATTGCTTGGCAATCGAGCTTATGCTTTTGGGCCAAGTTTAAACCACTTTTAGCCATGGCATAAACTTCGAAATATTTAGCTTTGAACTGATTCATGATTTTATGAATGTACGAGAATGTTGGGAAGAGTATCTCTGCTAATTCGACCATTTTTCCCCCTACTTCTTCACAATATTCCCCGCTCATACCAAATTCTTTGGATGTATAAAAAACAAAAGGCTGTATAAATCACCATTATTATAAATATGGTACCTA